GCTGATATGGGAACAAAAGTGATATCTTTAAACAAATTCCAAAACTATTTTAAGTCATTATCTGTTGACTCTCTGCATTGATCATACAGGTACATGGTGCAAATGAAATTATAAACTGTTGATAAAGCTCCTGGCTGCACTATTGGCAAATTTTGAAAGCAAGGTGGAGATTGTTAAGTTTCGAACCCTGAAGTTGGCTGTGGCTGTAAGTGTGCTTCCAAAATTAAGTAAAAATCGTGTTTCCATATGACAACTCTTTAAGTGGGTGCATTCAACTGGATTGTGACACTTGGTGTTCTAGTGGCCGTTGGATGAAGCTCTAGAAGCTGCTATCTTGATATACCTACTTGACTGAATGATTGGAATCACTTCTTCAAGATTTGGATCTCTCTCACTCCCTTCTGTGAAACCCTTTCTTCTTCGTGATTTAGGGTTCATCATACTTGATTAAATTAGTAGGTAGAATCTGTAATAGTTCAAATCGAAGGCTACTGTGTTGTACTGAGTGTTCCGAGATAAGAATCTGAGTGATTCTTGTGAGCTGTAGACTGTTGTGTCTAATGGAAGTAGCTTGGAGTGAGATCTAGGTGGAGAATAGTTCGATCTGTGTGATTCTCCAAAGATAAGTCTCTGTGACTTGTTTATTGTAATATCTTGGAACATATTTGTATCTTGGTTGCCGGTTTTTGGCTTTATAGTGCAACCAAGCTTTATCTATTTATAATGGATGCTCAACAGGGAATTAGGCATTAGAAGTGGTCGTCGAACCTGTGGGGCTATGGCCGAAAAATTCTTGTGTTGATTTTCTTTATTCTTGCACTTTATGTTTATGTTCTGTTAATTAGGTTTTTGATCTTGACTAATCTATACTTGTTTCTCGACCTTTCAGTTAAGTTATTTCTTTTCTAGATTAGTCTATCACGATCCTAAACTTAAGGAACTGAACCTTGTACAGTGGCTATTTATGCCAGTCGAGTAGAATAGAAAAAAGTATCAAAGCATTTCCCTCATAAACTTCTTCTTGACTTGGTATCAAAGCAGGTTCATATCACCCATACCATATCATCACGTCCTGAATTTTCTATATTCTTTGAACCATGATTAACGACAAATCTGAATCATCTACACCAGCATCATCCTCCATACCAGTTGTAAATGTTCAATCAGAATACTCCGGTTTATAGCCAGCGTCATTCTTACTGAAGTCAATTATGATGTATGGTCCCAAATTATGAAAATGCAGATTGCGACTTGAAAAGTTTTAGTTTGTTATGGGCAAAACATCCCCTCCCTAGGATGCTGATGCTTCCTATGCAAAGTGTGTCAAGTGATTGTTGCTGAGTTCTATGTTGCCTGTGATTATGAAGCTCTATATTCCATTGCGCACCGAAAGTGAGATTTGGAATGATCTTGCCGAAGCTTTCTTTGATGGGTCAGATTTATTGCAACTCTTCGCACTGAATCAACGAACATTTTTTACCAAACAAGTTGGCCAACCTCTATCCACCTATTATGGTGATCTTGCAAAAATCTTCCTAGAGTTGGATCATAGTGATAGGATTGTGAAAGATCCCGTTGCTGTTACAGCCTATAAAAAATCAGTTGAACGATTGCGTGAGCACATCTTCTTGAATGGGCTATATACAATTGTATTATCTCCACAACATGTGTTCTATTCTGGCTGCTAAAATTGCTCGACTCTGGCAGACTCATGAGTTCTATGAAGTCTGGTATTTCTGTTCAATATTTACTCTCCTCCAACAGCTTGTATGTGATTTGCGTTCAAAAAGGGAAAGAAAAAGCTGGCCGAAGCTAGGTTCCGTTGCCACTCACTACAAACAGGGCTGCAACTTTTCTATAACTAAATTGAAATTATCAATGCACAAATCTTCTGCCGACAATCAAGCAAGAGTAGTGGAAATCAAAGTTAATAAATGTGGCTAATTACTGAAATGCTTAACAGGTCAATTTCCTAATCAAGCTACTTTGAAATGACATCATAAATTTGATGGCTCCAAAAAGGCAATTTCCGGAATACCTTTCTGTAAATTTATTAGATTCTAGTAAACATTCGAGAAGTGGTCAGAAGCCAATTGGCCAGTTCCTTCTTCATCCGTTGTTCTAAAGGCTAATTTAGCTTCAAATCAAGATCTTTGAGGCTCTCGAATTCTTTTATTCACATTCTATTGGATTCATTCAGTTGGCTGCTACGACAAAATGTGAGAAATTTGCTACTGTAATTCTTGGTGGTGTCGTGGATGGGCTACAAATCTCAGTCATGCAGAAGAAACCATTTTTCCAAGTGTGCCCAAAGTGTTCGGTAAAACGCTTTAGCTTGGATTTCTCTTGTTCAAAGGCTCCATTATCATCCTAATTGCTCAAGGCGAGCCAATCATTCCTCGCATATTTGAAGGTGAGCCATAGCTCGTGGTTGTCTTATGTGTTGAAGGGTGATTATCTCCATTATTCGAGACAAGCTTTACGACCTTGTGTCTGTGAAGGCGAGCCTATATCGTGTTTTCTTATTATTGAAGGTGAGCCTAAACTCACGATTTTTATTTTATTTATTTATTTCTTTGATATTCGAGGCAAGCTCTAAGAGCTAGTACGACTGGGCTAGCTTGTAAGACCTCATATCTTTGAGGCCGAGCCTTGATCGTGGTTTTCTTATTATTGAAAGTGGGCTTTAGCTCGTGATTATTTTAATTATTCGAGGCAAACTCTATGATCTTACATTTTTTAAGGTGAGCCTCAACTCGTCGTTTTTTAATTATTGAAGGTTCCTGGCACGTGAATTTCTTACTAAGAGGTAACATTTTGGAGCCCTCGTTCCTTGAAAATGGAAGAAGTAGAATCTTAGATGAAATAAAATGCCCAAAAATTTCCTTATCTTGATCTCTTCAAGTTTAACACAAATTTCTACTCCCAATTTGAGTTTCCAAGTAAAACTTCAACTAGAATTTATCAAATAGATTTCGAATAGAATTCCAAAAAAACCATTTCAAATAGAATACCTCTTAACGTGCACTTTAATTAGAATTCTCAATTATTTTCAACAAAGAATTCGGATCACGCCCAAATTCTAACAATTTAAGATTACAATTCTTGATATGTATAGATTCATTCTCAATGTAGAATATGGAGTCATTACTATAACGGTACAATTTTTATTTATATATGGAAACAACAAAACAATTATATGGACATAAGCTTAATATTTAGAGGTAATATAATATATTTTTTATGATAATCAGAATTAAAATATATATTGAAAAATAGTACTCAAAATGCGGGTTTATTAACTGTGAAAATATATAAGCTAATTAATTGAGAAAAATTATTCATCTATAGATTTAAAACTTTCCCGCTTCAAAACAATTAATTCTCGACAATTAATTTATTTCAAGAATTATTTAATTCCAAAATATATTACTACTAAGATTACTAAATTAGCTAATCTTTGCTGTGGTGGTTTTTGAATCCTAAAATTTAAAAATCTGGACTTATGTGTTCTTTAGCTCCCGTTTGACCCCCATTATTTTTCATCAAATTATAATTCATTTTTCTCTGTTTTCGTATCAATCACACATTCTCCAAAAAAATTACTATTCCCTTCATTATAATTTGGAATAATGAGGCCAAACGAGCGCTTAATATATCATATTATCGATGCTAAATTATCCCGCTAATCACTTGGATTTTCTGTGCCGTGAGCAATTGAACATAAAATTAATAGCTAGTTTGTGGTTTGGGAGAGGCGACTGAGCTGGGGTGTTTGGACAGAGATGGCGGTGGTAGCTGGCATTATGTAGCAGTGGTAGTGGCGGTTTAGAGGGTGGTGGTGGCGGGATGGGGGATGAGGCGGTGGAAGAAAATGTCTCGTGTTCCTACAAGTGTAAAACTATGTTTTTGGCTCTTGCATTTTTGCTATGAAATTACACCCCCAAAATATTACAAATGAAATTACGAAAGATTCACAAGTCTCATCCCAAGAGAGTTCATGACAATCTTACGATTTGAGATTTATTTGTTATTTTTTTTCACAGAACAATCTAACGAGTAAAACATGAACATACATTTGTATATTAGAACATTCTATGATGGTAATAGCTGTTTTCCAGCATGAACTATGCTTGCATAGTTGCATTATAGGGGCAGGCCCCTGCCAAGTTACACACGAGGGGGTTCACATATATATTTTTTTAAATACATTTGATTTGGGTGGGGCCCGCGCTACAGTGAGCCCCCTATGAATTATTCTTTCCAACACAATGTAAAACGAAAGAAAAATAAATTCATAAAAATTTACATGAAACTTATCTTGTTATGCAATAGGCATCTCAAAGCGACAAAGAGGACAATAGTGACTTCTCTTTAACCACTCTGATATGCAAAAGCTGTGAAAAATATGAGAACATGGAAGGGTCGAGACTACCAACCCCTTCTCTATCTCTTCCAAGCATACCATACAACTCTCAACCTTGTTGCTATTGTCCTTGTAATCAACCTCCTCCTCCGGCAGAGACAGGATCGCTTCCATGCTCGCAGGTGTCATGTTCGGACCATCGTTTAAGCCCAACGAAGTTTCATCCACAGAGTGTGTAACAAACTTCGTCATACAAATATCTACCATTATTTTCTCATCCGCGCAAGCTAGGACGTCGTGTCCATTGCTAATTATAATTTTCACAACATCTTCTTTAAAGTAATGATCAGGTCCACAATCTGGAAGTCTTGACAACAGAGTTTGTTTCAAATCATCATAGACCGCCCCAAAATCGACCCAAGTAAATAGTGACGTCAATCGTCCTACATCTTCCATTAAAACTTCGTCACTGTAATTCACCCAGCGTTTGATGGTTTGAAAATTGAAGTTCAGGAGAACACACGTTGCTGAATAAGGGTTGATACCCACTCGTTCTGTAATCTGTCGTTGTCCTATGGATGCCCACCAACGGATGGACTCGGAGCGTGTCCTATATATTTCCGAACCCATCAATATTTAGAGAAAAAAGCTCATGTGCATGCAGTCTAGAGAGAGAGAATTATTTCTGGGAAAATAATGAATTTACTTCTGAGAAAACGATGAAGTGATTACAGATTATCATGTACATATAGGTTTTAGAATGTCTATTCCATGTAACATTAGGATTTCAAATTTCCAGGTCTTGGTAAGTATAAATTCCATCCCCATGTAGGATATGGGTACGTACACTAAACGGATAATTATATTTATGAACCAACAAAAGAATTATACAAAAATAAGTTCAATATTTTGAATATGGATTATTTTAATTTAATTTACCCAATTTTATCTATTTATTGTATTTTAATTTATGATTAGTTTAGTCTTTGATTAGTATTATAATTCTTAATTTTTGTAATTTTAATTAGATTGGAATCTTAGAGTTAGTCGTTATCTTTAACTCTTATCATTGTCTAGAGTTAGTGATGATCTACAAAACCATCGTAACGAAACAAGTTGGTCATTTACTCATTCCCGTCTTCTCTCCTCACTCAAGAACTAGATTAGTATGGTTAATCCAACGATATATTATGATCGTATTCTGCGACACCACCGCCAAAAAAAACCAATTATGTCTTAATCCCAATAAATATGCTGTCGGCTTAAGATCATATTCAACGATTCGAAAAACTATATGTAATCATGTGCGCACCTCTAACCAACTTTCACTTGCAATAAAAAACAAACTTCCTTATTTCTATGAATTGAAAATCGGAAGGTAATATTCATTGTTGACGAAGGGTCATTAAGAATGATCGATTGAGTTCTTGGTAAGCTCAAAGTCCTTCTCCATGTAGAATACGGAAACACTATAATAAGTATATTGACATAGGAAAATACGAATATTTTGAGATAAAGTCACCTTATTTTTCCTAGTTAGGGATCCCAGTGGCCCCCACCTTCCTTCGACGCTGTTCTAATGGGGTATACTGGGTGGACCGTGTTAAACTTAATGATTTTCACTTTCAAATATTGTCGAATGCTATAACAAAAAATAAAAATATGATCGTTAGTCAATAGACAACTTAGGGTCCATTTGATTGCAAGGGTGGAAAATTGGTGGAAAGAAAATGAATTTCAAAGAAAATAATTGTCTAGAACTTGTTTTTCGGATAATTATTAATTAAGTGTGTTTGATTGGTATAATTTTCCACCCGAAATTTTTTAAAAATGTTGGATCTTTTTCTTCACGTTTGGCTTCATTTTAAATGGAAATGGTTCATTAAAGTTAATTTTTTTTTTAAATACAAATAGTTATGAAATTTGTTACCATAACCAAAAAGTAAAAAAAAAAAAAATTGCTCGAAAACTATTTTTGCGCCATTTTTTCATTAAAACTTAGTGTTCGTTTGGTTTCGTTTTATATGAAAATTGTCCATTAAAGTGAAAAAAATTTCACAACTGGTTATGAAATTTATTTCCATCGTTAAAAAAAAAAAAAAATTCTTGAAAAATTTGTGCCATCAAACAGCACAAAAGTGGGAAGTGAGAAAATATTTTCCATTTTCCATGAAAAATTTAATAAATCATAATAGGGCCTTAAAGTGACAAACATGACACGAGTAGCTTCTTACATTCCATTCCCAAATACAATTTGAGTGAAAAAAACATGAAAACATTGTAGCGTCGGGACCATCGATCCTACTTCAAATTCTTTGTGGCATATCTTACAAGGATTATGCTATATGTACATCCAGTGGTTTACACACAGGGTTACACCCCCCTCACATGGAGGGGGTCCACACACAATTTGTGTACATCTTACAAATCCCATTCTCGTCACCGTCGTACATTTCGTACTCCGTTATTGCACTTTCCGCTATGATCTCATTCGGGCTCTCAGGCAGATACACATCCAACAAATCATCATTTAACTGCATTAAAACTATATGGGCTCAGAGTGGGCTTTGAGCGTAAAACGATCCAACAAATGAACAAATTTGTTTAACAATGAAAAATAAAGAATAAAATAAATTATAATCTTAGACGAATCACAGCCGTAGATATTTAATAAGTAGAACGTCAACCGCACGATCTAGGGCGACGAGAATATCACCCTCCTCTAACCTGTTCAAAGCCTACTTTTGTTCGGCCCCAAAGCAAAGAGCCATCTCCAGAAGCCGGTAAGCTGACAACCGAGAAAGTCGAAAATGGTTCAAAGGCTCACATACAGGAAACGGCATAGCTATGCCACTAAATCCAACCAACATCGGATCGTCAAAACCCCCGGTAAAAATCCCTTTTTTTATATATGATTTTATTTTATTTATCTATATTGGGTTTTGGAAATATTTATTTGGGTAGCGTTTTATTTTTTTAATAAATTTGTTTCAGTCTGATTTTATGTGAATGTGCTTAATTGTGTTTTTCTGTGTGTTGAAATAGGAGGGAAGCTAGTGTACCAGAGCACTAAAAAGAGGGCTAGTGGCCCTAAATGCCCTGTTACTGGCAAGAGAATCCAAGGGGTATGGCTTTTGATATGCTGTTTGTGTTCAAATCTGATTAATGAGAATTTAAGCGACTGTTTTTACTGATTACGTTTGAAACTTATGCACTCATTTAGTGCTTAAAAACTCTTTCTTGGAGGGTGATTGCTAATTTTATTCTTGTCTGCCTAACCACCATTTGCATGTTTAAATTTTATGGAACTCTAACCTCAATCAAGTTATTTGGTAAAGTTTTGTTAGATTGAGCTCCTAAAGGATTAATATTCAGTTAAGCTTTAGAGAATGTTGTACAAAGCATAAATCAGTTTTGATCCGCTTATTTGCAGATTTGAATTCGAATACCTGAAGTGTTGTCATGTCTGTATGTTTACATTTTGAAGTATAACCTTTAATTCATGTACCCTTTACCTTTGGGGTTAGGATTATACAGAAGTTACTGGTGAATGCATCTAAAATTTGTAGACCGGTTGTGTGTTTTTGCCTGACAGTTGACAAGTTCTTGTTTTGCGTTGAATGGTAAAAGCTTATGGAATGAAGATGGAATTTTTTGGATAATAAAATCACTAGTATCATTTTGATGAATTCATATGTCTATACTGTTATTTTAAAGGGATTTCTTTCTTTGTAATAGTTTGTCTTTCTTATAAAATGCCCTGAGGTGATACTACTGAGAAATGCTGCTGTTTTATGGATTAAAACAAGGGAAATTTAGGACTTAGATCCTCAACCTCAACCTATTTAACACTGTGATGAGATTTTGGACAGAAACCTTTAATTGACCAGTAAAAGTTAAAGTTTCGGTTTTAAGGACTATTTTTCCCCTTATATTAAACGAAACCCAAAAAATAAAAATGAAAATATGCTAATACAAACAAATAAATGAAAGTCATCTTCCCAATAAGAGGAATCAAATTGAATTCCAAATCACCCCATCAAAGCATTCACATTGTCCCATGGGTTTCACTATCATTAAAATTTTCGATTTTTACTAGTTTTTTATAGATTTGGTGATAATTACTTGGCATATTATGATGAGTATGTGGAAAATGAGTTTTTTAGCAAAATGTGATAACCATTCTAGACTGTAAATAATCCTCCAAAATTTAGTAACAAACTTTGTAGCACGGACACTTCAATTAGGGTAGCGTGTCCGACACAAGTCAATACCGACACTTCTCACATACTCTACGGTAATCATTTTTCTTTTTATAATAGAAATATTATATATTGTTAATTCAAAGTTATTAGCATAATAGGTACTCATGTTTAAAAAATTTCAACAAGAAAAATTAATAAAAAGTATAAAACTAAATTTATGCCATATAAATGAAGATTTTTTAATAATTTAATCAACGTGCCGATGACCTGTCGTGTCTGTATTTTTTTTAAAAATCGTGTGTCGACGTATCCGACATGTATCGTGTCAGACACACGTGTCCGTGCATCATAAGTAACAAATATGAAAGATGGTAAGCCCGAAGTGGAGGCAAATCCATCAAAAAATCCTCCTCCGACAATATCAAATTTGAAACTTGTGTTGGGCCAAATCATCTAACAAATTATTGGATTTTATTTTTAGGGATATAAAACCCATTAGAGATCCATGACCTCATTTAAGTTTACTTGTTTAGTTCATGGTGTTAGGTGTTTGTGACTCATGTGAGTTCGGTTGTTTTTTTCAGCGGTTAGCACTGTGTGCTTGCAGCTGCTGGTGGTTGTTGAGGAGGAAGAATGATAATTTTTTTCCTTTCCTTTTTGCCATTATTTTCCTTTTGACATGCATTTTTGTTTTTTTTTACTTGACTTTTATTTATTTCAAGGTAGGGGTATAACTGTCTTTTAAATATTAATATGACTTTTTAACCGTTGAGTTGATAGTTTCCGTCTCCAAAGGATGAGAGTAACATTGTTAAATAGGTTATCTGTAAGCTCACTTTGAAGGTTGGGAATCTATATCCACACACACTCAAAGGTTGGGAGTCCAGTCCTAGTTTTCCTTAAAATAAACTAGAATAGGCACTATATGATGTGGAAGCAAGAAGTGATTGATACATGATGATGCGCGATATTTTTTATTAATAAATTACAGAAGGGCTAGAGCTAACATGACTCCTAAACGGCTTTTAGCTTTCATGCAATCGATGATTTACTTGTGGCTGTCTTTGACATTATGACTACTAAGAACTCAAATATATCTCTTTTTAGTTCATTGAGCTTAGTATTGTTTATTACTTTTAAGATTAAAGTGTTTGAATGACTTGATTCCTGCCTTGTAAATAAAAAATAACCAAAAACCTTTTTTCTACTTACATATCTGCAGATACCTCACTTGAGACCTGCTGAGTACAAGAGGTCTAGATTGTCCAGAAATCGGAGGACTGTGAACCGTGCATATGGTGGAGTGTTGTCTGGTGGTGCTGTAAGGGAAAGGTAGGTTTCCATTATGCATGCGGGCTCTGCCATTTACTCAAATACATCTTATGGATTCTTTCTTCATCTTTTTTGACATTCTTTTTGTTTGGTTTTATAGAATTATTAGAGCTTTCTTGGTGGAAGAGCAAAAGATTGTGAAGAAGGTTTTGAAGATACAGAAGGCCAAGGAAAAGCTGGCTACTAAGAGCTGAGGGGCTGAGATAGTTTTGTTTCTTTTGGATACAAATTGTCGAGGAATTAATGAAATGTACTTTCAGGTATTTGAGCTAGATATCTGCATTTTCATGGAATTCTTTGAGATGTGACTTGTTTTCAGTGTTCTATCTTGGAAGTTTTGGTTCTCCAGCTATTTTTGACAAATTTGAAATTCATTTTGGATTTGCTTTGATGTAACTCTCAGAGTTTTGAGTTAATATCTAATGTCCAGTTTCCTTACTCTGGAAATTTAGTTTTTGGTTGATGTTCAATTGACCCCGAGGGGGCGGGTAACCATTCCAGTTGGTTAACGAGATGGCACGCACGACCCGTTAAAAGAAAGATGCCATTATATCATATATAACAATTGAGCATTTTCCATTCTCAAAAATTTGAAGAGTATAATTTTAGCCATAAATTTAGACACTAGGGTGTGTTTGAGCCATATTATTTTGAAAGAATGTATTCTGAAATAGTAGACTGATGGAGAATGTGTGGTTGAAAAAAAAAGGAAAGGTTATTGATCTGATGAAAAATATTATTTTATTGAATAATGTGGTTGAAAATGAGTAGAATAATGAGAACGAAAATTTTAATATGTATCAAACAGGGAGGTATTTGAACATTCTGTACAAAATTGTGAAATGGTCTCTCCTCTGAATTCTTCAAAGAAACGGTATGAACTTGCAGATGCGAAGATTGACAAACAAAGCCATAGATGGTAAGAAAGAGTGAAGCGTCTCTATCAGGATGCTTGTAACAATTCCTTGATATCATATCCTTGGACCTACACAAACAGCCAGGAGTCTTGGTGCTTATTCACGAACTGTATATGAAAATTGGTCTGACAAGAAATACCATAAAGCAAGACAAACACTTCATGTAACTCTCCTTAATGGCTCCAAGTTTGTACATTGGGACATTATGTAGTGAGACGACTAGAAGAATGCCTAGAAGTTCAAGAAATAAACTTAAAAAGCATGAAAAATTTTCACCATGGGATTGTAATGAGTTGCATAATTCTCTATTGAGTAATGCTTTTTAGGATCGCTGTTAAAACACCGATTTAGGTGACATTAATGTGACATTAAATGAAAGGTACAATTAAATGAATCACTCAATTCTACAATGAAATGAGTCTATATAACATAGAGTTACTTAAACTAGTGTTGCAATATCAGTGGTGCCGAGTTACCTAAACTAGTGTTACAGTATCAGTGGTGTTAAATAGCATTATTCTTCTTTGTTTGAACTTATGAAAGTACATAATTATGAAATAATGAGCTCGTATTTAGAACGCATCATATACACCCCGCGAAAACTTAAAACTTGTGCTCAAAGAATTACCCGAAGGAAGGTGAGAAGCAAGATAATTCCAGAGTTCCAAATGGCATGAATAGTGATTTGGGTGAGAAGGTTGCGGGTTTGAGCATATGAAATCCCAAAGCAGTGCCTGAACAAGCATAACATATTTAACATAAATCCGGTTCTTCTTTATCTTAGTTATTTGCAGTGCAAGAACATATCCATTTGTCTTTAAAGTGAAAAAGTTACACTAACTTGATTTCTAGGAAACAGCCCAAGCAATCAAAACATCCACATCCAATATGAGCGTGACTAAGAGAAAATTCAGTATACTCATCACGCTAAAATAATTACGCCAGAAAGAAAAGGGGCATTTTTTGGAGGTTACTTGTGGACCGGACCAAATCACCTTTTCCATCTCGAATCAAAGATGAAAGAGATGCCAACTAAGATTTTGTTATTGAAAGCTGTCACGTAAGAAACAAATTATTTGTCTCCACATTTTATGAACTTCATTTAATCTTTAATGGATTGTTGAAGAAACTAATTTAAAATTATAGCCTCAGCCCTTAAAGTTCATCATTGACTATATTTGGAAGGCATCAAATCAGTAGGGCATTGGGCCTCAGAAAGGTCACTCATCACAGGCCCATTTATGGTCAAAAGGAGCAGCAAAATTCTGACTGCCAACTCAACTTTCAACCTATTTTTTTTGTATTGTACAGTAGGTCAACACTAGCATAGGACATAGGCTACCGTTACTTATCTTCTCATATAAGGATCATCTTTCATCCATTTGTAAATCAGAAACACACAATAAACAAGTATTGTTCATCATATTTACAGTGTTAAATTCAATATGGATCCAAAGTAATTTTCAGCAGCCTTTAGTTCTTTTAATCCTTGTGCATAAACTTGTGGGCATGAACAATACCGAGAACAAAGAGCTAAGGAAATTCTCCAGGAGTGAGATGTGCAACTGCAAATACAGCAGCACTGATAAGCACAGCAAGTGGCGTAGGCAACCTGCAGATAAAGTCAGAATCAATCAGCCCTCGATGAACAAGCATTTACGCAACTTCCATTGAAGGATCAAAAAACTGCAAATTCCAAGTCGGGGGTTTTCCTCCATTAACCATTTAAAAGAGCAAAAAGAATCATATTTGTCAAGTTAGAGGAATGGATAGCTACAATCTTATTCCATTATTCAGCCATTTCATTTTTCTTTCAAATTTGACTCTGCACATAGGCAAAAGGAAATTTAGTCATTAAAACAAAGCCGCCATTTTTAGCCTTCCTGTTTGGTCATCGAACTACAGAACTGGGTGTTAAGAGCATTTTTGTCTATGCTTAAAATGAAATAAAAGGTTAAAATATGCTTGAGTAATTGACTTTTTTCTAACTTTTAAAAGTAAGAGTACATTTGATTGCTCTTTCTTTTCCATGGAAGATGGAAATTAAAATCTATTTCCACCTTTTTGCATATTTGATTGATTAAATTTTCCATGAAATTGATTTTCCACATTTTCTTGATTTTTAAGGAAAAACTTTTCTCATGGGTTTGGTGGGAAAAACTTTTCTAGGTAGTTTTTTTTTTATCCTTTTTTTTTTTNTTTTTTATTTTTTTGAGCAATGGAAACAAATTATATTCCCAATTGTAACAAATTATATTTTTTTAATGGACAATTTTCATGAAAAACAAAATCAAACGAACAATAAAAGATCCAAAATTTCAATATTTTCTAGGTGAAAAATTATACCAATCAAACACAATTAATTGACAATTCACAGTAAAACAAGTTCTAGGCAATTCAATTCCCTAGAATTCATTTTGTTTGCACTCAAATTCCATTATTGCAATCAAACGGACACTAAGAGAAAGGTGGAATTGTAAACAAGACTAGACATCATTTTTTAAATCCTGGATGCTTACGCTTTTATTTCTCAGTTACATGCATCTATCTTATATCATACATATAACTAATTAAGATGATGAATTTTAATTTGACTATACACCACTTAGATGCTTTACACCCCTTCAATTCCTTAACAATGAACTTATGAACTGGATTTATAATTGCAAAACGAGTAAAACGAGAATAACTACAAATCAGAAATCATACCACTTGCTCAGAGACACCATAAAAAACCTCTGAACACAGTCTCCTCAAGAATAGGTGCTAGAACACCTGTGATGCCCACCAAGCAGGCTGTGCTACATTTAAAATGTAAAGAATTAGTTCTTCTTTTATCCGAAATTATGTAATGGTTAAAGAAAAACCCTATGTCGGTATACACATGTAAAACTTGAAGATCCAATCAATGGAAGCAAGCGGATATGAGCACCAGTCTGAATCGAATTAGGAGATTATTAACCCACTATATTAAGAAGATAAAAATGCTGTGCATACTGTAATATAAAGAATCGCCAGTGAAACTGGATAGCATTTTAATGTCATTTCTTTTTCTTGATAAGATGGAAAACAAAATAAAAATAAAGACAATAATATGTTAGGTTCCATAAGACATTAACAAACAACTTGGTCATAACACTTATTTGAAATGAATTCAGAGGGAGCAAATCAATTAAATTATTCATTTAAGCCTTCATACATAGTTGAACATAAAGAAACTCCATCAAAGCACTTATAATTAACCTTGCCGTGTGAAGAGAAACTACATGATGCATAATCCAGGCACTTACGAAGCTATGTTCTTTTATTTTTCTCCTTTTCTGGGTGTTGATTTTTATGCTAATAAATAGGCACGAAAAAGCATTGGCAGAAATAGATATTAAATCCTAACCTCTAGTTGTGGGGTCTCACCATTGACAGAAGACATCACAACACCTGTCAGGGCAATAGCACCTAGAGCTCCACCTAGACCAATTCCAGCCCATAACAACCACCCTTCTGAAGATTGAAAGGTTCCCTCAAATCTGAAACACAAATTGGTTATACATATGATATCAGATTTTCTCTCTCAAATGTTACATTAGGAAATTAAACAAAATAAAAGTATACAATGACATCCTGGACCAGAAAAGGACTCATAAGCCATCTATCCATTACCAAATAATTGCTCTTGTAGACTTGATTGAATAATCATGTTCATTACCATATGCATAAATGTCACGAGGAATTGGAGAGAATGACTTTGTGATATTATATAAAACTCCAAGCACCACTGCAGTTGCAATGCTACAAGGCAATAGAGCAAGTAAAATTAGACGCGGGAGTGCAAATTAAAACAAGGACTTATTAAAGAAAAGAAAGAAATTGATTAAAAACTATTCATACAATTGATCCGCAAACAAAATTTCTGCTTTTCCATCCATACTTAATTCTTCAATCCCAAGTCCCGTATACCGTATTGCCGCTGCCTCTATCAGTCCTGTCAATACAAAACTGCCTGAGGAATAATCAATTTTTCGTTTAGTCAATGCTCCGTTCCTAATCTTAAGAAAGATGTCAACAACTAAAGCAACACTCCATTAATAAAAGAAAAAGATTGGTAACTGAGAATGTTTTATTTAAATTACAAGAAAAGAATGAATCTACAGCTCAATCATATATTGCATCATAAACTGAATGGATTCTATTTTTCAATACAAAAACATATATAGAGTCGAACTAGTGATGGAAATCCTCCTCAATCCACATGCAAGTGATGTCAAAGAAATTGTTTGCCAATTCCAAGGCACATCCCAATATTTCAATATTCGCCAATTTTGTCTGGGTTCTTGTAGAAACACCATTGCAGTATCAGTTCTTGACCCTATTAGAGCTAATCATTATTCAAAATGACAGAAATACAAACACCTAATTAAGAACCCTTTTATCAGATATTTCCAGCCTTTCTTTAGAAATCATTTCTATCTTTCTTTCTTCCGATGAACGTAGAACCCAATTTAAGACTGCTTATATTTCCCGCTAAAAAACATTTTTTTTAACAGCTCCCATATTATTACCACTAATTCTTTTCCTCCTACTGAAAACTATTTTTCCTTTACAACTAGATCAAGATCAAAATAAAGCTAAAAATTAAAAATTTAAAAAAAAACTTTGTGTGGAGGGTTTATGGGGAAGAACAAATGCTAGAAAATGTAATAAAAATACAAAATTTTCGGGGGGGTAGTTTCTAATGAGTAAAAGAACAAAGCTCACTTTTTTATCAGATTCTTGACGAGAATTGTTCTTGTAACAACAGGTGGTACAGATTCCTCTGGTGATTGCAATTTGAAGCTTGAGAGCAGGGATTAATGGCGAAAATGGGAGGGAGGTGTTTGATATGGGGTTTTAGTTTGCGAATAGCATTTGGGTGTGTACACCACTGTAATTAGTTTGAATTTTTTTGCAGGTTTGAGATAGAAGAATATTATTCTATATTAAACAAGGATAGCTGTACAGTATTTCCGCCTAAGATACTGTCCCAATTTCTCGTCCAAGGGAAGGGCAAAAAAAAAAAAGTAAAGAAAAGAAAGAAAAAACGCGTGAACTGCAGACCAAATTCAAATTCAAATCTAACATATTTCCTATCCATTCCTTTCTCGCCTCAACTCTCAATCGGCGACGACCCAAGCGGTAGACGGCGCGATCCTGTCCATCTCCTGTTGGCAAGAGCCCATATTTGCAGTCGAGCCGCTTTTGAAACGGAGTTCGAATCACGCTACATTTCTCACCTCAACTCTCAAACTGCGATGGCGCTCTCCTTTCCATCTCCGGTCTGCGCCTTTTGTTGAAATCGGTGAATTCTTCTCCATTTTGTACCATGTTTTTATATTTTAATTTTGTGTTCGTCCACATTTGTCCCGTCGCTTACTGTGTTTGCTTTTTCTTTACATTTGTTTTTTTCCTCTTGAGGATGACGTCTTTTCACAACTGGAGATATGAGTGGAGGAATTGAGGCGGAGAGATATGAAGAAATCTGGCGAAAAAAACCAGGAGGCAGATGCGGAGGCAAAAACTCTGCATACGGAGGCTTTGACCAGCCTCCTGTGTGGAGGCTAGTGCCTCTACACACGGAGGTGCCACTCTAGCCTCCGCGTGCGGAGGTTGGAGCCTTCGCACGCGAAGGCTATTATGCTCCGCACGCGGAGGCTTTCATTAGCCTCCTATGCGGAGGCTGCCTCCGCACACGGGTTCCGCTTGTCCTTCGCACACAAGTTCCACATTTTTTCCTCCTGTTGACAATTTGCTTGACAGCAATGGATTGCAGAGAGGATCTGAGCAATGGAAAAATGAACAATCTTTCCGTCAACCAACAATGGGTGATGGAGTTGCTTCCTTTAGTTCAGAAGGTAATATTCCATATACCCTTCTGACAGATTAATGCATCTTCTTCTTTTGCAATGTATAACAAAAGTTCTGCCTCAGAAGAGGGTCCTGGAATAGAAGGCTTTCAAATTATTGGGGAGGCTAAACCAAGATGTAAACTCTTAGGTTGTGGATATCCTGTACGCAGAACTTCTCTTTGTATGTTCCAGATATGATCAAGATTACTCATGTAATGGCTATATATTTCAAGTTCCCTGTATTGATAAAGTTCAATTTTTTGGTCACCAATTTTTCTCTACTTATTAGTGGGTTCGTCATTATCCGGATGAAACTAGATAGGATATCGAGTGTAAGTATATTAATGTCTTCTCATTAATATACTTAATCTTCAATGACAGTACTTTATTTGCATTAAAAATCTCTCTTACCTCTATCTTTGTGTTTGTATCAGGGGCCACTAATCCAGATTATGTAGTGACAGCTGATGATGTGGACAAACTTATAGCCGTTGAATGCATACCAATGAATGAACAAGAACAATAGGTATATGAACTTATATTTTGTACATTATGGGAATCATGCAGTTGAACGCCTCAACAGTTCTGAAGGTGCTATATGATCAAAATTCGATATCCAATGAAAAAGTTTTGTATGATTTATTTAGTAAAATTTTCATATATATTCAACGTTTAGTGATGCATTCGTTGTTCCAAATTACCCTTGAATTGACATGGTACTAATAGGACAGACTTGGATTATTGAAAATAACATACAAATTTGTAAGAATTTAATCATTCCATCCCTTATTTTGGTAAAGGGTATGATTGCATTTGAATTTTTCATAAATGTAAAGATGGATCAAATGGAGTGACAAAGAATCCAATATAGACTCCCCCAATTAGTTTATTGTTGTTGCCTATTAAGCATTATTTTCTGAAGGATACTATGATAAAAGTAATAAGTGGACAATAATGACCATAGAAAAAAATATTAATTATATGTCTTAACTACAACTCATCCAAGGGGATGTGGGTATAGGAGATAGGGTTTTTTTTTTTGGTAGGAATGTTCCATTTCCTGGAATATTTAATATTTCATTGCTTGGTAGGCTCTTTAATTAATAAATTCGTGTTTCTTATCGAAAAAATAAAAAACAATACCTCTCATCCAAGGAAACTTAAATATTTATAGGTTTGAGATCAAATTATATATGTCTGTTTCTTCTATTTTTTATTTGTAGATAGTTTCTAATTGATGCACATTCCACCATACAGAATGCTAAACTTCTTACTTAAAACTCCAAATTGTCATTTCAGGGTTATATTGCACAGCTGCACCAAGAAGAATTCTGGTATTATGTGAGCTTCAGTTTAGATGTGCTTCAATTTAATATTTTTTTGTTCCTTCAATTTTTTTTTTTGCCTTCGATAGGTATTTATATTAAAAAATAAATTGAACACTGAACTCGGAGAAATAATCAACAAAGGTGGGGAAAAGTAGTGGGATATTATTATTATTATTATTATTATTATTATTATGGCCTCTTTGAAGTTGTTGTGATTAATGTTATTACTTCTATGTTATATAACTTATTCAAAGAGATCAATTACAAAATTTTGTACAGGAAAAAAATTGAGTAGAAATATATTTATAAATCACGAATGTTGTAATTTCGGCGTTTTTTTCAAGAATTTGTATGTAATCTTCTAGATCCTGCAAGAGAGAAGGAGAATAAATTTAATTTTCTTTCTTCAGCATAAAAAAAAATTGTTTTCAAAGAAGTTTTTCAAAATTTGAATTAGTTATGTGGTGTATATATTTTTATTTACAATTACACATTCACTCGCAAGTTAATTTTATAAAGTATTTTGTATCTAATTGGATTGGAAGATCAATTAACATATGTTGCTCATATTAGAATTGTTTATCACTTAATATAAATTTATGCATCGCACGGGTGAAAGACTAGTTCAAGGAAAAGAAACAAGCTTGGTGGTTGAAACTCTAAATGCTGGTTCACTTTATCCTTGAGTTGGAGAAAATATTTTTTAACAATTTATTTCTCCCACCATATTTTTTAAAATAATAAATAAATTAGAAGTGTAAAAAATAAAAATCATTTCGAAACGTGAAAATAAAATATTTTGATATAAATCATCGTCAAGAACAAGACGTAATAATTGATGAATCAACGAAAAAAAAGTAAAAAAAAAAAAATTGTTACAATGAGTAAAGTTTGGGAAGCTTAACTATAAGTGTAGTGTAATAAAGGAAAATTATGGTGACAATATAATCATCCGAAAGCAAATAAACATTTAGTTACAAGATCAGTCTATTAGTTGAAATTTATATATTAATTTTTACATATATTTGCAAGTCCAATTTACTTAATTCTCAAAATCTAATGCATAAGATTTCATGACGGATTGATAAGGACATTTTTTTGGGGTTAAATAATCTTAGGTTCTGTTTGATTGTAAGAATGAAATTTGGGTGGAAAAAAAAATGAATTCTACGGAATTAAATTGCCTACAATTCCTTTTATTGGGAATTGTCAATTAATTGTGTTTGATTGGTATAATTTTCTATCTGAAAAATGTTAAAATTTTGAATCTTTTTGTATTCGTTTGCCTTTATTTTTCATGGAAATTGTTTGTTAAGGGGAAAAAAATTTACAATTTGGGATAAAATTTGTTTCTACTGCCAAAAAAAAAGTTGGAAAACTATTTTCCCACCAAAACCATGGAAAAATGAATTCCTCGAAAACCAAGAATTGGGCACGTGTGGGCATAAGGTGGAAATTGAATTGCCAAGAACATTTAGGCTCTGTTTGATACACCATATTTTTCATGGAATTTTTCTATTTTCCAACTTTTGTAATGTTTGATAGGCAAAATTTTCCTGGAAAATGTTTTCTAATTTTTCAGAATTTCCACATTTTTTAGGAAAAAAATTCTTGACATTTTGATTGGTAAATATTTTTCATGTTTTTTTTTTAATGCAATTGGAAAAAATTCTAAACACAATGGTAAAAAAATTTATTATTTTTATTGACAATTTCTATACAAAACAAAGCTAAACGAATGGTATTCGGTATGATAATTTTTTTTTTTTTGGGCAATTGTAACAAATTTTAGGCCAAATGGTAAAAAAATTATCACTTTAATTGACAATTTTCATAAAAAACAAAGTCAAATGGACACCAAACTTTCAACATTTTTCATGAAAAATTATACCAATCAAATACAATTAATTACAATTCTCAATAAAACAATTTCTAAGCAAATCTATTCCCTATAAAATATTTTCTTTCCACCCATTTTTCACATTTGCAATCAAACGAACAAGCCAATCAAACATGAAATTTGGGTGGAAATGAAATTTCTTTTCCATGTTCCATGGAACTTTTGCTCAATCAAACAAGGTCTTACTTTAAAACTCTAAAAAAAGGAACCGTCTACGACCCGGCATATGTTTATGTTTGTTGACTCCACTTCGCCCCCAAGAGCACATATAGTTGGCGAAGCATCTACTAATAGGTAGTGCCTTCCACCAACGAATGGGAGTCCAATAGGTGTTGATTCTATAACAGCATCTTTTATAAGGCTGTGTTTGATAGGCCATATTTTTCGGGGAAAGTAGGAAAATATTTTTCACTTTCCACCTTTTTGGTTGTTTGATGGGCGAAATTTTTCACGTATTTTTCGGATTTTCCTCACAGGTGTGCAATTTCCGGATTTTTGATGAAAATGTTTTCCTGGCTGGCTGGAAATATTTTTTTTTGGGTAATGGAAACAAATGTCATAACTAATGGTAAAAAAAAAATTCACTTTAATCGACAATTTTCATGTAAAATAAAGTCAAACGAACACTAAACTTTGATTAAAAAAAATGATTTTTTAGAAAATAAACTTTTTTCCTTTTTTTTTTTTACTTTTTGGCAATGGAAACAAATTTTATAATCAATTGTGAAAAAAATATCACTTCAATAGACAATTTTCATGTAAAATAAAGCTAAATGAATAGAAAATTTAAAAATTTTTCGGGTGGAAAATTATACCACTCAAACACACTTGAAATCATTTTCCCTGCAAAATGGCAAGTCTTTTCCCTGTAAAACATTTTATTTCCATCAATTTTCCACCTTTACAATCAAACGCACCCTAATATTTTTTTCAAATCAGTGGTACAATAACTCGAATATCCTCTTATCTAACCTTGAGCACTGTATCTTGATTACCCGACTTGATGCGTTGGCTGCCTTCAAACAGGGATAACAAAATTAGCACTCCAACCCATCTCGATTGTCATGTCCGATTTCCTACCTTGAATTGTAAATGGCCAGGGACGGAGAACTAGTCTTCGCCTCAAATTCGATGAACCCTCAAACCTTATTATTTTTATTGTATTTTATTTTTGTATTTTTAATTTAAATCGTATTAAAAAATAATATTAAAAATAAAAAAATATTAAACTCCCCGATAAATTGGGAATTTTCAATCTCCATCCCAACTCCTGAAAACTCCAAACATGATTGGGATGGCAATAAACATCTTGGTCTATCTCATTGTCATTCTCAGGGACGTAACCAGGATTTCAATTTTGGGGGGTGAAAATACGTGGGGTGGAGCTCACGAATTTTGTTTTAACTAAGGATTGAAAACGACGATTTTGAGTACCAAAATAGACAAGTTAAGTTGATTGACCAAAAATACAATCAGTTTATCGATACAAAAATAATACGTCCAACTATTTGTATAACACTATACAAATTGAAAACATGAACGTTAGATGGACATGAAAAAGACAAAAAGTAAACTGCCTATCTATATAACAGATTGTAGAGTTAGCTTGGATAAAAAAATCATCTTCCATTCTATTACGCAATCTTGTCTTAATAACACTCATAGATGAAAATGCACGTTCTGTAGTTGCTGTTGAAACTGGAAGAATCAAGACAAAATGAATCAATCTATCAACAAGTTTATAACTCATTGATTTTCTTGATAATGCCAACAGTTGGCACACATATATTAAATATGTGCTATTTATTTATTTAAGTAACTATTTGTTCTTTTGTTTAGGTCTAAAATTTTTGTATGGTTGAAGTTTAAAGTATAAATTATTGGGTCAATATTTATTAATGGAAAAAAAAATTTCAAAATTTTGCAGGGACGAGTCAAAATTTTTGAGGGGGCGAAACTGAAAAATACATTAAAAATTAATTAGAAATAGTGGATCAGCGGATAATGTTGGGGGACGATCGCCCCCCTGCCCCCCTATCTCCATCTCTGGTCATTCTTACGTTCAAAACTATGATAAAAGAAATATGAAAAATTAACAAGGGAAAGAAGACCCTGCAAGGCATAACTCAGATATATGATGTTACACGGGTTAAGAATCATAAAATAATTGAAAGTGGAAAGGTAAAAGTAAAATATAAATGCTATGATGTTATTCCACCCATAGTCTCATTCCATAAATAGTAGGAAGGTACTCCTTTTTTGGACTCAAGTTTGCTACGCGGGCCACTTCATGTAGAAGACATCATTAGGAATGAGGTGTGAACAAAAAGGTAAAATACCATGGCACCCACTTTTTTTTTTTTAATTTACGTATAATATTATTTTATTAAAAATATGTAATTGATAAGAAGAGAGAAAAAAATAAATTATAATTTAATGAGAAATAATAAAAACTAAACCTTGAAAGTACAATTTTCCAATGCATTGGGCCTTTTAAATTTGAATTAAACGTGTCAAAAAAATACTTTACATAAATAACAAAAATGAATAAAAAAAACTTAACTAACTTAGGGTCCGTTTGATTGCAAGGGTAGAAAATGAGTGGAAAGAAAATGATTTTTAGGGAAAATAATTGCCTAGAAATTGTTTTGTAGGAAATTGTTAATTAAGTGTGTTTGATTGGTATAATTTTTCACCCTAAAAATTTTAAAATTTTGTATTCATTTGACTTTGTTTTACATGAAAATTGTCCATTAAAGTGATAATTTTTTTTCCACAATTGCTTATAAAATTTGTTTCCATTGCCAAAAGGTAAAAAAAAAAAAAAAAAAAAAAGAGAAAAAAAAATTTTTTAAAAAAAAATAATTTTTTTAAAAAAATTTTATTATTTGTTTAT